TCTTGAGATTTTCCTGGCTAATAGGGGGTATGTCTCGTCTACATCTTCAAATCATTTTCTTTTGCAATGTGGACTATTTTTTGCTATTTTCTTATTTCATGAGTGAATCTAAACTCGATAAATTTCTTTAAAGTAGACAAACTTTATATGGGAAATAAGTGGTAGACCAGAATGTAGATAAGTTTGTGGGTTCGGGACAAAGCTAGAAAAGCCCCCTTATGGCAACATTTATTTGGGGAACATTGCCTCCCAGAGTTAGCATTCATAAAGTATTCTTATCGTGATATCCAGAATACCACCTTACTCCGGTACCAGAAATTAAACATTAAACTCATGAGAAAACTTTTGCTTTTGCACTTAATGAGATGCATTTATCAGAGTAAAGACCTTCAAATTGTACCTAAAGATAATTTGCAAATAAATGTTGAGTGTTTTGTGCCTTGCCTTAGTTATTGGGCCAAAGGTCTTAATATTTCGCAATGTGATGCTAGGGGAAAATGATTAGCCTCGTATCCGTTTCCAGTGAATCTTAAATGAAAGTTCGTTGGAAACATGATCGTCAACATATGGGTCGGAAACACCTTTCAAATCCTTTTGTTAGACCCTAGCTTCGAACCTAAGCGTTTCCGATCAGACTACCTCGATTAGTTTGACCAACGCATTTCTGCGTATCAGAGCTTCGTTGGTCAAACTAACCGAGGTAACACACGGTGTTGCAGACCATACTTGGCTTAGTATGTTGGTTCGGGATAGAAATAGTCGTACTTGGTGTCAAAATGCAGAGCCACCTTCAGATGATTTTCAGATTGCCATTTTCGACTATTCCCTCGTATGATGTAGAGCCCGGTTTGAATGTTATAACCCACAACTTTGCTGGTTGTATAAACTTTCCAGAGGCTGAATGGTGCATTGGACTTCTATGTCAATGCGCCATGTGTTAGTGCCCATAGCTTACCAATTGTTACCGTTCTTGTAATGGTTCGAGTCTCCTAAGCTATGAACCGTTTAAGACAGGCTGGGCTAAATGAGGCTCCATTGGCAGTGTAACTTTGAACTTTTTTAGACTTGTGTTCATGCAAAGTTTAGGCTCTGTTTGGAAAGAGTAGGGTACTCCCTGCATCATTAAAAAAAAAAAAAAAAAAAAAAACAAACAAACACTCAAAGTAGATAAACTTTCTTTTATTTATAACCAAGAGTAAAGTTGGTTGACAAAAGGATGTGATTAAATATGAAAAAGATTGCCTACATATTTCCGGGATGGTGAATCAAATCATTGGTGCATTTCTAAAAAAATATATGATATAATGTAAAAAATTACACCAGGGATCACTTTTGACGATTAGCTTATGGTAGGGCGTGAAGAAATGAGTTCTCCATGGACTTGTCTTTAGGGGTGGGCACGGTGCGGTTCCACCCCTAAATTGGAACCGGAACCGAAATATATTAACGGTTCGATTCGGTGCGGTTCCACTTAAATTTATTACTAGAACATTACGGTTCGGTCTACACCGGTTCCGATTCGGTTTTTGCCGGTTTATGGTTCCTAATAATAAATTATTTGAACACCAAATCATTATGCATTCAAATACATCTTCTAAAACTGATTACATAAAGTTGCATACAACACATCTTTTTTAATGCAAATGTCTTTGGTAGTGGCACCAAGTCAACAAAAAGAGACAACTAAAATACATATGCACTGGTCAATCAGTCAACAAACAAAAAAAATGATGAAGCAAATTGCAGGTTTTCAGACTTCAGAGAGCAAGCAGGAAGCAGCAGCTCCTATACACAATTTTTCAACCTATTATACCATGACATGTGTGTGTATATAATTTATTTATTTATTATTAATAAAACGGTTCGGTTCGGTTCGGCCAGTTCTTGGTCATTCGAAACCAGAATCGAAACCGGTTTGAACGGTTCGGTTCGGTTTTTCACTCAAAGTTGACTTTTCCGGTCAACACGGTTTTTTTCGGTTTTTTTTCTTACGGTTCGATGCGGTTTTGCGGTTTTTATGCCCACCCCTACCTGTCTTCTTTTAGATGGCGGCATTGCGATTGGTTCCAGAGAGGACTGCCTACATATCCTATGGAGGGAATCAAACCGCTTGTAGTCCGTATTGTGCTACGTTTGTTTAAGTTACCTGGAACAGTTAACAAGAGGTTCAATTTTTCCTAACCAGGCCCTGTCTCTTAACGCCGGTTCTTTTACTTCTTTGGTTCAATCTTCTATTCATTATTATTCCTAGATAGTGAGGCATGTACTACATGTTGGGGGAATAATGCCCATGGTGTGCAACCATTCTCAACGAAGGATAACTTTGTAAAGAGATGGGTTGCCAAATCACATGGAAAACTTTCAGGTATTTAGACGATTTTCCTTACACTTTAAGTTGTATCATTCCAACAATATTGTGTGGAATTCCATCAAGAGCTTGGATGGTAGATCTTCTGAAGTTGACTTTATCGAGGACACCCATATTTGTAACTACACCCATGAAGAGGAAATTGTCTTTCGACCCATTATCGATCAGAACCCTGTCTACCATGGCATCAGAGATTTGTAACTTGATATAAGGGTGCCATTGGGGAGAGTAGATGTTTTTTGGTCTGGTGACGAGGTTTCTTAGGTGACATGTTCCTTGCATCATCTTCTTTCCTTTATGTGCCCTTTTGAAGTAATCTCGTTTTCCTTATGCATAGTTGATTGTCGGGAATGATTTCTTCCTCGAATGGTAGGGCAGTAGTAAACCAAGGATCTTTGAGAATCTTATGGTGTGTGCCCTTGGGATAAGCTCCCTGGTCAGGAGGCCTTGATTTAGATTTGCTGTCTCTAGAAGAACCTGAGTGGTAAAGACTTCAAGGCGGGCGATAATGTTTTTGATAGCGTTCATCACTTTGCACTAGTACAAAAACATGTTTGCGCGACGAAAACTTGCGCGACGCAGCTAAATGCGTCGCGCAAAGTATGTTCGCGTGACGCTAAACAAAAAACGTCGCGCAAATGGCCTTTGCGCGACTGCACTTTGCGCGACGAAGATTGGCGTCGCGCAATACCATTTTGCGCGACGTAAGGGTACCTACGTCGCGCAAAACGGTATTACGCGACACCAATCTTCGTCGCACAAAGTGCAGTCGCGCAAAGGCCATTTGCGCGACGTTTTGTGCGTCCCGCAAGATTTTGGCGCTAAACCAAGTAAGGTTTACCGCTTTTTCTGTTGACTTTGCGTGACGCAGGGCTACATGAGTCACGCAAAACAGCTTTGCGCGACGCAAGTGCACATACGTCGTGCAAAACATCTTTGCGTGACGTATGTGGCGTCACGCAAAACATCTTTGCGCGACGTACGTGCACTTGCGTCGCGCAAAGCTGTTTTGCGCGACGCCATATGCGTCACGCAAAGTCGACGACTTTTTTTCCCTTTACTTCATCAGTTTGGGTGGTAGAAACTGCAAACTAGTTGCAGAAGAGCTACCTCCCTCCCCCATCTCTGTTCTAAACGTCCCCCATCTCTGTTCTAAACGTTCTCCAATTCTCTCCGTTCCTTAATCTATTTGTATCCGGTAAGCAATTTGATTTTGTATATGCAACTTGATTGAGACTTCAAACTAAAACTACTAAACTTGTTTTGTACAGGATTTTTGTATACAATTATCATTGAAGAACGAATTTGAAGGTATTTTTTTTCTTATTGCATATGGGATTTTTGTATATGTACCTTTGCTTACTTGGTATTGCCCTTTTTGGTAATGGTGGAGTTTTGTGAGATTGATATTTGAAGTAATCTTTATTAATTTTACCTATTAAAGGAGTGAGATTGTAGATTATTGTTGAAGACTTGTTTGGGCTTCATTTGAATACTTATCGAGGTTAACTTATATATTTACATAGAAGAAATTGTAAGAATGTTGGTTTCCCCTTGAAATTTCCTTAATTTGTGCTATATGGTTGAATTGAGGGTAAATGCAATGTGTTGCAACTAAGAATTATATAGAAAACCTACAAAGCCATGATCTTCAAAGCTAATCTTATCATCACTATTAAATTCTCAATGCTAAGACAATAGGTTTTAGTTCAATAATGAGCGGGTTGATTTTTGGTAGCATATGCCATACTTATGTAGATAACAATGGCTATGATTCTCTTATTAAATCCTTGTAGAAACTCAATATCATCTTCCAATTTTAATACAAGTAAGTAATTTAGGATTCATTTTTAGTCTCAATCCTTTGTAAACTTGAAGACAACCAAAACATCTTTCAATAAGATTTTTTAAAACCAATATCTAGCCAAAATACGCTTACACTTGTGTTCATATTCTAACAGTACATTTATCTCACCACCAAAATTACTCGAGTGTAACTAACTAGAATATGTATATTCTATGATATAATTAGTATAAACAAATAAAAACTAAGGCCATCAACATTATAGTTTACAAGGATTAATATTTTGTATCTATTTTATTTAGTTTCACTAATTATTGTGATTTAATTTATTTGTATGCACATATTTTTGTACATCAATTACAAAATTGTTTTGTGTTGTACGAAGTTAATACAACTTAACTTCGTACACTTTTTTTTTCAAGAAAAGCTTAGTTTCCCGTTTGAGAGTTAGTTGGATTTTGTGCATGGATGCAAAAGCATGCTTGCGGTCCAATTAATTATTGAATTGTCCCATTTTTTGGACAGTTTGGGAATGCATAGTTATGTGTTGTAGTTTGCGGTTCATAGATTAGGTTTCGATAGTGGAAATTTTGGTAACATTTCCTAATGTTCTTCGAGTACACAGTGGATATTATGTATCTACTGCGTGCACTTGAAGAATTGTAAGGAGATGCTGTCGAAATTTGCCCATGTCGAAATTTAATCCATTGGAATCGTAAATTACGGCACATAACTGTGTATTTTTGAATGGGATAGGCCCTTACCGGAGGAATAAGGTGAGAAGACAATAGTTGAAGTTGTTGTACTTTTATTGGGATTGCAGGCAAAATGGACAAACAGTGGATACAGAATCATAATAGATGTGCTATCGAGTACTTGGATGGAATAAATGATTTCATTGAATTCGCAACTAGACACAACCGAGGTTCAACTCATATTCGATGTCCCTGTAGGAAGTGTAACAACTCAATGAGGGAAACATTCGAAAATGTTCGATTTCATTTAGTAAGAAATGGGATGATGGAGACCTATACTACTTGGTATCATCATGGAGAACGATTAGACCAAGCTTCGTCTTCATACATGACAGGAGTGGAGACTGTTGAATGTAATGTGGATCCTAATGAACAAGTTATGGATATTCTAAATGATGTTTATCCATATGCTACAACCAACACCAATCAGGAAGGGGGAGATGACGGTCGTCCAACCATGGATAGTGAGGCATTCAAAAACTATGAAAAACTATTGAAAAATGCCAAGCAAGAATTATATCCGGGGTGTGAAAACTTTTCGATGCTCACAGCAATTGTGGAGTTGATGCATGGCAAGATCAAGTTTCGTTTGTCAAACAAGTGTTTCGATTACTTTTTAGGAGTTATCAAAAGGATGCTTCCAAATGACAATTGTTTACCTGAAGATCATAAAAGTGCCCAAAAAGTGTTGAAGGGTCTTGGATTGGGGTATGAAAAAATTCATGCATGTGTAAATAATTGTATATTGTTCTATAAGGAGAACACACAGTTGGATAAATGCCCTGTATGCAATGAGCCAAGGTTTAAAATGACATCACAAAATAGAAAGACCAAGATTCCACAAAAAGTAATGCGTTATCTTCCATTGAAGCCTAGGTTGCAACGATTGTACATGTCGATGCACACCGCTACTGATATGAGATGGCATAAAGAAGGACGAGTAAATGACGATGTTATGAGGCATCCTGCAGATGGAGAAGCATGGAAAGAATTCGATCGAATGTACCCTGATTTTGCAGCTGACCCGCGAAACGTCAGATTGGGACTTGCCACCGACGGATTTAATCCGTTTGGGGTTCTAAACCAAATCCACAGCACTTGGCCGGTCGTCGTGTTTCCTTATAATCTGCCGCCTTGGAAGTGCATGAAAAAAGAATACATGATGTTGACTCTATTAATTACTGAAGATCCAGGAAAGTCCATTGATGTTTATTTGCGGCCGTTAGTAGATGAGCTAAAAGATTTATGGGAAAACGGTGTTCGTACATATGATAAGTATACTAGGCAAATGTTCACCATGAGAGCAGCAGTGATGTGGACATTAAACGATTTTCCTGCGTATGCAATGGTTTCTGGGTGGATGACTAAGGGTTATTTGGCATGTCCAATATGCAAGGAGAACGTAACATCGTCTTGGCATGCGAGAAAAGTTTGTTATCTTGGTCATCGTAGATGGCTCCCTTGGGACAACGAGTGGTGTCAGAACGATAAAGCCTTCCATGGCACAAAAGAGACTCGACCAAGACCAAGAGAATGGTCTGGAGATGAGATTTTGGATCAATTAAACCGTTTGGAATTTGGTCATTTTGGCAAAGGGGTCAGTAAGCCCAGACCAACTACACATCTGAACTGGACACACAAGAGTATGTTATTTGAGCTCCCATACTGGTCAAAGTTAAAATTGAGACACAACCTCGATGTTATGCATATTGAGAAAAATGTGTTTGATACTTTGGTCGGGACAATTCTAGACATTGAAGGAAAAACGAAAGACACGGTCGAAGCTCGCCTTGATTTGGAACAAATGGGCATTAGGCCATCCTTGTGGATGAAGAAAGTTGGTGGTACATTGAAGAAATGCCATCCTTTTTTTACAGTTAATCCGAATGGGAAGAAATAGTTTTTCAACTTTATTTCTTCTGTAAAGTTTCCAGATGGGTATGCTTCCAATATCTCGCGTTGCGTGAACGTGAGAGGGTGTAAATTTTCAAACATGAAGAGTCATGATTGTCATGTGATACTCCAACGCCTTCTACCGGTTGATATTCGACACTTATTGCCTCTTGATGTGTTGAAACCAATCGTGTTGTTGTCTAGATTTTTTTCACAATTGACTGCAAGGTGTTTGCGGAAGTCGGATGTTAAACAATTGCAGGACGACATTGTGAATGTCATATGCAAGTTCGAACAGATATTTCCTCCAGCTTTTTTTACAAGTATGATTCACGTGATGATTCACTTGCCAGATGAGGCATTGCTTGCTGGACCAGTCAATTGCCGATGGATGTATCTAATAGAAAGGTACTTAATTAAGCGTATATATATATATAACAGATTAATGATCAACGAACGCTTTGAATAATTTGTAGCATACCTTTTATTTGTGTAGATATCTTGGTGAGTTGAAAAAGTGTGTCCGAAATAGGGCAAAGCCCGAAGGATCACTTGTGGAGGCATGGGTCGCATATGAGTCACTTACTTTTTGTGCAATGTATCTTCAAGATGTTGAGACAGCTTTCAATCGTCCTCAACGCAATAATGACGGTGGTGTCAGAAAAGAGAAACTATATGTTTTTGCCCAAATTGCGCGACCATTCGGCGAGCCTGTAAAAGGCGAATCGTTTACCAAAAAAGACATGGAGGTAGCGCATTGGTTCATACTCAACAATTGTGATGAGGTTTTGCCATACCTTGAAGAGCATGAACGGTTGATGAAGCGAGAACATCCTTCACATTTATATGCCAAGAAGCACCGTGAATTGTTTCCTTCGTGGTGTCACGAACATGTAAGTTGTATGTGTTTTGAATTCAGCATATTTTCCAACTTGTTCATGCCCGTCTTCAAATTTGGTTACACTAACAAGTTAACTTTTTGTATATGTTATATTAGATGAACAAATTGAAGGAATTGAATTCACCCTCTTACGATGAAGAATTATATAACTTGGCGAGAGGACCGCTTCACGTTGAATTGTTCTCAGGTTGTCATGTCAATGGGATCAAGTTCTTAGGGGCAACACGTGATGACAAGTTGTCTACTCAAAATAGTGGTGTCCACGTCCCGGGTGTTGGTGATAGTGAAGACATTGATTTTTATGGCAAACTAACTAGTGTAGTACAATTGCTTTACAAAGACAGGTGTCAAGTGATACTGTTTAAGTGTGTTTGGTTTGATACAAACCCACATAACCGAACGAGTGTTAAGCGAGACCATGGTTTACTATCAGTAAACACTACCAGATGTTGGTACGATGAAGACCCATACATTTTGGCAACTATGGCGAAACAAATATTCTATCTAGACGACCCTAAAGCCGGCAATGGTTGGAAAGTTGTTCAGAAGATTGATCGAAGAGGGCTATATGATATTCCGGAACTAGATCATGATGACAACGACGACAATGTCGCTGACCAACAGTTTTCATCTTTGATAGAATTTGGTGAAGAAACACTCCGGGATACTAATGTTGTCCAAGAACCATTTGAAGTAGCTAAAGTTCCCGAATTTGAAATATCAATTGACCTTAGTGATTTGCCACGATACAATGCACCGGAAGAGGCAAACGAAGATGAGGACGAATGGAAATCCGAAAATGATAGTAGTGAGGATAGTGAGAGTTATTATTGTAGTTCGGATGAAGATTAATATCTAATTGTAAAGGAAAAACCAGGAGGTTAAGGAGAGGCAAAGTCAAACTAAAAAAGGCACGGGAAGAATCTACTCCCCTCAAATTCTTCTTCTTTATATAGAAATTATATGCGTTGTAGTTTTCTTAGATGTGATGGTTCACATTAAGTAATTGGTTCATTGGTTTCTTAGATGTGATGTGTGATATGTGAAGTTTTTAGAATTGACTAACTTTAGATAATTGACTAACTTTAGAATTGACTAAGTTGTGATGTGTGATATGTGAAGTAGAATTGACTAACTTTAGATAATTGGCATTTTAATTTCTAAGTTGTAGCAGTGTAGTGTGTGTTTCAGTTTCGGCATGTGAAACTTTTCGTTCCATTGTTATGACATTGGTTTAATTAGACCTTTGCATGCTATGAGCCTAGCTATTCTGCTTTACAACTTCCCAATCCATTAGTTGACTCTTTATTTGCTCTCGAATAGATGACAATAAGCTTTACAAGTTAAGCATCATCTTTTGCCTTGAGTTAACTAGTTGTGCCCCTTAGGCACTGTTTCAATAAAATCATTCAATTGTAAAAGGAACTTATGGGTGCTTAACCTGGCTTTTACGAACATATGATGTCTGACCTTTATATTCTAACCTTTTGTAATCCTAATTTGGTTGTTGATTAAAGTGGAACCAAATATTTCACACTTGTATACCCTCATTATTTGTATGTGATACAAAAAGAGGCGCAAGCTGATAACTTTTTGTGCTAAATTCATGACAATCTAAAAACAGTAAGTACCAAGGATAATAAGATATGTGTGATATTTTGGGTCTGATAACACCACCTCCTTATAAGGTTTGAGGGTGAGTGGGTCCAATTCCTGTTTAGTTTGTGCTATTGGCTTAAACAAAACTAAAGGGAGATGATATGATTCTACCATTTGTGGTGGTTTGCCGGTATTTCTCATCAAGAACTTGGTGGTTGAACCTTGAAATCCTATATTCCATTAAGCAAATATTTTAAAAGCTGAAAAAGTATTCTTTCAGCATTTTGTGTGGCATGCTTTTAAGCCTTTTACCTTCTTTGTAGCGAGAAAAGATTTATGCTTTCGCCTTTTGTTTTCTATTCTTTTGTTAAATTTCTTACTGATAAGTTTGTCTGTCAAATGATGTTGAGTTGAATGCTTTCTTGAAAAAGTGTATAGATGTCGAAGTTGATCACTCGTCGTAGGAGTGTGACCAATGCGCCTCCCGCATTATCAGCATTTACTGCTCCATCCGTGAGTGCTCCATTGATTGGGGAGCCTACACCCCTTACTGAGGCTACTGTTACGGCATCCCAGGTGCCTGTATCATCGACGTCATCAGTGTCGGTTCAGTCGCTCAGTGCACGGCGGCCTCATCGGCACCGCCGCGATTTGGAGCCTACTGTTCACACTTCCTCATCATCCAGAGTTGAGGATGGGGCCTCCCAGCCAGGTAGTTTTTTTTTCCTAATTCTCACTACGTTGTATTTTTTTTTTCATTTTAAAACTATTATTTTTATGATTGTGAAAATTTGTTGCGGGTTGTGAATTACTGTTATTTTACTTTTTTAAGGTTTTGGGAAATGATATACTATTAGGGGAGGTTTTGCAAAATTTTCTATAGAAATTTAAGCTTAGGATTTTCACCATTTAAGTTTTTTTGGATAGCCAAAAAAAAAACCAGGGGGCCTAATCGAATGCTGAAGACGGCACAGAATGTACGTCTGTCTGCCTCCTTGATCAAGATTGCATATGACTCGCGACATCGTGGAGCGGCTACCTCACAGCAACATAGCATCGTCGCTACTAGCTGTGGTTGTGTTATTCGGAATTGTTGTCCCATGCAGTGGGAGACTTGGGCAGAAATTCCTCAGGAGACGAAGATACTGGTGCGAGACAAGTTGTCGGTTAGTATATTAATTTTTGGCCTTTTATCATTTTTTTAATTATGTTTACAAATATTATAAACCAAAGTATATTATCTTAATATTATTAAATTTCTTACTATTATTTTGTTGTTTTATTTGTAGGTCAATTTTGATTTTAAGGACATATCCCCTGAGGTCATCACCTACTTAGACGAGACCTTCGCAAATCGGTACAAAAATTGGAAGAGTGATCTTCATGTGCATTTTAAGAAATTTAATGATCCAGAGGTTGCTCGCCTAGAGGGTTGCCCATCCGAGTTGGAGGATCGGCCAGAGGATTGGGAATGGCTCTGCAACCATTTTACAGACTCAAAATTTGTGGTATGTACTCAATATTTTAATAATAATTCATTAAAGTTTTAGTTATTTTTTTAAGCTTTTTAAAATAATTTCTTTCAAATAGTCGCACTAACATGTATATTGTGTGTTTAACAGAAGAAATCTGTTACTGGCAAGATAGCTCGGGACTCTAAGACACTTCTCCACCATTCCGGTTCGAAGCCCTTTTCGTATAGGCTTGAGACACGACGTCAGGTAAAAGTATATTAATTTTGAAATTTTATACAATTTATTTTTTATTATTGATTAATAAAATTTTCCTAATGGTTTTTTTTTTTTTTTTAGGAGGGTTCTAAGTTCCCAGAGATCGACGTGTTCAAGGACGTTTACGTTCGACCTGGCAATGAGATCGCTGAGCAGCTTCATGTAAGTAGATGTAATTGTTATTATTCTTATATTTATGAATCGTTCAAATATTATTTATATTTTGTTATTAACCATTATACGTTTTTTCTTTATTATTACAGGCTACTATGGTGGAAAAGGGCGATGTTGTTCTCCAAGAAGCAACATCGCAACTTCCCTCGGAAACCCCGATGGAGGACGTCACTTTACCCGAGGATGTAGGTTTTCAGATCATGACTGAGGTCCTAGATCAAAAGTACGGTCGTCGTCATGGCAAGGTTGTTCGGGGTATGGGGAAGGCGCGGGTTCGTGAGACGGGTGCCTCTTCTTCCAAATCGACCACATGAGAGGTTAACGCCCTGAAGGAGGAAGTGACAACCCTTAAAGGTCAGCTTGCAGCCCAGGACGAGCAGATAAAGGCCCAAAGTGAGCAGATGAAGGCCCAGAGCGAGCATATAAAGGCGGAGAACGAGCAGATGAGAGCTGAGAACGAACAGATGAGGGCCCAGATGAGTATGATTGTACAGGCCTTAGCGGTGTCTGGTCTCCAAATCCAGCTGCCAGCACTTGATCTTACTCCACCTTCGACCTCCCAGCCACCTCACCTACCCGATACCCAGTAGTTTTCAAACCTAGTCACTTGTTGTAGTTTTTTCTTTTTTTGTTTAGACATCTTGTATGCACATTTTCATGTATATGGTTTATAATTAAATTTTTTCTTGGTTTATTGTTTATTGTTTAGAATAATTACAATATTTATTAAAAATTAAATCAAATATATTAATAAATCAAAAATATTTTTCTCAAAAAAATTAAAAACATAAAAAGTTTGCGCGACGAAGAAGTTCCATAGGTCACGCAAAGTGGGTTTGCGTGACGTTGGTATGTGTCACTCAAAGTGTTTTTGAGTCACGCCAACCCACTTTGCGTGACGCACAATTACGTCACGCAAACCCACTTTGCGTGACCCAGACCTTCATCATGCCAACCCACTTTGAGTGACGCACACCTTCGTCACGCAAACCCACTTTGCGTGACGCACACCTTCGTCACTCTAACCCACTTTCCGTGACGCACACCTTCGTCACGCCAACCAACTTTGCGTGACGCACACCTTCGTCACGCCAACCCACTTTGCGTGACGCATGTTACTACGTCACGCAAAGACACTTTGCGTGACGCATGTAACTTCTTCGTCACGCAAAACCTTCTTTCACAGGCGTGGCGCGACCCCTGTCGCGCGACGAAGGTTCGTCACGCAAATTTTTGCGCGACGTTTTTTGGACTTTGCGCGACGAAGGACCTACGTCACCCAAAGTATTTTTTGTACTAGTGTCATTGTCATACTGGGTATAAGTCATACCATAATAAGACTTTGTTAGTTGTTTTTTCCGGTTGCTTCTATTGGAAGAAATTTCCAGCTAGCAGTGTCCTTGATTTTTAGCTAGTAACATCTATGTGTGTGTATAGCCTGAGAAAAATATAATTTCAACTTCTTATTTTCATGCACGCGATCAAACACCTCAATGAATCAGGTTGTGCTGAGCCGGAGACGGCACCAGTTTAATTAGGAGTGATCCTATCCATCTTTACATCAACTACACATTTCTGCATGAAAAGTGTGGAAAATATTCATTCAACAATTTTGCATGAATTAAATGGTAGAGAAGATAATATTTTGCGGGCTTCAATTTGCGTGGTTAGACATGGTCTGCACTTTTGAAAAAATTAACCTATGCAGGGACCGATTTAAGATCTTAAAATGGTATAGGTTAAAGCTTACCTTAGATGTTAAAATGGTGGTGTTGTTCTCTTTTATCCTTTCACTTAAAATAAAAAGGCACTAGAAAAAAAGAAAGGCATAGACGGTACTTCACAACAAAAACTATTTCTAGAATAGTTAGTAGGCACGGTTTAATACGATAACTAAACTCTTGAGGGATCATTCTTTAAGGTTCCACAAAAGATTTTGGGCTAACACCTCGAGATTATGTGTTGAGGAAGGAGGAAATAGCTGAATAAGTTACATCGATGAAGGTTGTGTGAAGGAAGAAGAAGAAGAATAGTCTAAGTATTGTTGGTATGGTGTAACAACTCTTGGTATAGTCTAACTCTTTTCTAAAATGTTATTCAAATATTGCCACGGTAATATGGTTTTTGGAATTGCACGATCGTAAAAAGGAATAGTAACCTCAGTTGCTTTTATCAAGATTTGAGATTTGAGTACTGTACTATTACATACTTTTATTTACAATATATTCGTTTTCTCATTATCCAAAAAAAGCCAAAGCTTTAGTTATAATTTTACGGTCAACTTTGGGTTGGCGGCGGTGAAGGATGTCTAGAAATTCAGTTGCCAACACCGAAAGATTTTTCAATGTGACTGGCATACGAGATGGTACATCATATCTTATTATACAAATTGTGATATATGTATGTTAAAAAATTAATAACTTAAAAAATAAATTTTTTTATCACTTACATAAAAACACAAAATATATCACCTGTTTTACCATCACAATAAAAAATTTCTCTCAACCATGGCGGTTCACGTTTTTGTCCACCTAAGAAAAATGCAACTTCAACTTGTTATTTTCATGCACGTGATCAATGCCTCGACGAAACACTGGAACTTGTGGGTTGGGTTCTGTAGACCAAATTTGTGCCAGCCTATAATCTTTCAAAACGTGGCCACTAACGATAACACCCTTTAACTTCATCTTCATTTAAACTACTGAAAAAAAACCTAAAAATAATTAATAAACATAATGCCAAGTGATTTTTTACTACAGTAGTAGAGATGAGTATTGCTTTTGCATCACACTGTGAGTCTCAATCTGTTGGCTCTCTAATTAACATCTAATTTAACAAATTTATCGTTTAATTAAAAAAAATGCTAAATAAAGAGTCCAAACTCATGACATCATCATATTCGTCTTTACACGTCATCGGCGTGACATCATTGTATTTGTCATTACACATCAAGTTGTTACAACTTGGATTTCCCATGAAATGTTTTTTTTGTAAATTTATTAATTTTATTTAACATTCTTCGTACTTGAAATAGTGGATTTCGGGTTAGGAGGGGCCTCTCACAAATATTAAAAAAAATAAAAATAAATGATAGTAGTTGCAAAACTGTTAACCAAAACATCATAGTATATATATGAAAAATAACTAAAATTCAAAATAACAGAGCATTGATAATATTACATATTCCCAATAATTAAAATAATTGTCCTCGACAAGTTTTCATATTTTGAAACCGTTGCATAGTGTATATATGCTAATTTTACAAACTAAAACAAATTAGGCAATAGTTAAGAGAAATTTCAAGACATCAATTTAATCATAATTTATAAACAAAAAATTGTAAGAGGAATTGAGAGTAAAATACAAACTTTGGGTTGTTGACCAATTAACTAAACTTCAATGTCTTTTCTTTGATGGAATGATGGAATTCTTTAAACTGCAAAAAAAATATTATTTGTTAAATTAATTTACAATTGTAGATGACAACATATATGAATTAGCAAATTGCAAAAAAATTTGAAAATGACAACTTTGGAGATTCGAAGTTCATACCTTTGAGGATCATGGAAATTGAAGACTGATCGAAAAGCAATACACATATATCCACTCTAACCCAGACTGACAGGCTGCAGTCGGCTAGAAACTTGGAGAATAATAAAATACTAATTTTTAGTACTGGGAAAGGGAATAGAAGTGTTGGAAGGGATCATGATCCTCTCCTAAGCAAATGGTGAGGATGGATCCTCCTGACTAGGCCCATCGGGCCGTTCGAATTTTATTCAACGGCTACAAACAGGGGGCCCATCTAAAAGATATAATAATTGTAGCCATTGAATAAAATTTGAACGGCCCAATGGGCCTGGTCAGGAGGATCCTCATCATTTGCTTAGGAGAGGATCCTGATCTTGTTGGAAGTTGGAATAGGTAGGCTTTAGGGTTAGACTAGAGTACATAAATATCCTTAAAATATTTAAAGAGGGCCCGATCTTTTGCCTAGAAAATTGGAATGGTTTAAGTGAAAAAGTCATGGAAAAGTGATAAAAAAAATGGATTTGGATCCTCTCCGGATCCCCTCCCTGGGGATCCCGGGGATCAAGGCACAAAGACTGTTCATCAAAGATCGTGCGGCCATAATTAAATGTTTTTTTACGCAAAACGAGATTGCTTTACTTTTAAAAATATAAAAAATATTTAATTGTGATCGCACGATCTTTGATGAACGGTCCTTGTGCCTTGATTATCGGGATCCCGAAGGAGGGGATCTGGAGAGGATACTACTTATTTTTTTTATAAACAAAAGCAGGATGGGCCTAGGACTACTGTGGTTCTTTGGTCCCTCCACCCCTGCTTGAAGACTCAAATAACGTACTTAAATGTTAGTACAAAATATATTATATTGAACTAATGTACATAAATGTTAGTATCGAAATGTATTTACTGAAATGTATATATTGAATTAATGTACATAAATATGTGTACCGAAATGGATATACTAAAATATATGAAATGAATTAATGTACCTAAATGAAGAAGACAAAGTATATTGAAATATATTGTATAACAAAAATTAGTTTATCTAAATGTTTACAACAAAATATATTATGATGAACGAAATGAAAATTATAAGTATAAATGAAATATAATTAATACATTAAAATTAGGAAGAAAAAGAGAAATAATTAAAACATGAAAATATAATTATTAAATGAGGTGATTAATGTATAAAGAGACTAAAATTAGATTTTGATCTTTCTTATGGTTTTAGTTTAAAAGTCATATTTGCCAAGAATTAGAATGAAGTTTCCTATATAAAAAATTACAATTACTTTTGGGTACATCAATTTCATTTAATGGTTCGTTGGATGTGTAGGCACATGCGAAAAGATATGATTAAACGAGGATATACAAGCCCAAGTAGGAGTGGCATTAATTGCAGATAAGATGAGAGAAATCAGTTAAGATGGTTTGAACACATGTACTGAAGGCTTACAGATGTTCTGGTTAGAAGATGCAACTATGAGACGAAAGCTCAAAACAAAAAAGCTAGAGGAAGATCTAGGAAGATTTTGAACGATTATAAGAAAATATATGGAGTACTTCAAGCTAACGGAAAATTTGACACAAAACAGAGTGCGATAGAGTTCTATAATTCATAGAATCAGACCCCTTAATCGTATAAAGTTTTGTTGCTGTTTAATTTAATGGAATGAATGACCTATTGCTTAATCTTTAATTAGGAATCTTGGGAAAGCTCGTTAATTTGTTTGTATATAAGATTAGAACGAGGAGAACGTGTATGGAACTGTTTATAGTCACATTATTCCATTATGCTCTTCAACTTTAATCTAACATTCTCTTTGAGCGTGATTATTGTGGGATCAAGACGTTTGGCCAAATGCCCCAAAAATACTGACGCGTGGTTATCGACTTCATCTTATCTCCGAGAGAGACGTAATAATAGCAGGACTAATAATATTATCATGAATCAACCGTTGCTTATACTATTCATATTATTCACATGATAAACGTTAAATACGTAATAATTTATTAGTATTTAGTGATTGACAAAAGAGAATATTAATAATGACAGATTAATAACGTAGTGCTTATGTTAATTGTAATTTTCTTTGACTTTCATATCTTGTTTTTTTTTTTTTACATGAATTTTGTAGAGAAGAAATGTCACATCCTGGT